AAACCCATTAAAACATTACATGAACATGGAGCTGAAAACAACTGAGCAAGCAGAACAACACAGTCGATCTGCTGAACATGTTTTATGAGACATGAAAAAAAACAGACACCTTCAGTGTATCTGAATTTGTTTGTACCATTACCATTTGGGAAGTCAGTGAGGATTATGAACATATTAGTGTAGTATGTCTGCTGGACATTGCAGCTCCCTTTCCCTGCAGCAACTAGCTGTGTTGTTCTATAATTAGATTTCCAAACCACGGTACCCCTGAGAAAGCCTAAACTGCTTGCATGAAATGGATAAGGTAGAGCTGTTTGAATACAGCTAGCTTTTTTTTTATTGTCTTTTTAATCCTTTAAATACTAGAGTGTCAAAATTTGTATCTACTGATCAGCCACTTCTTATATTTTCTGTTTATGGACAGCCCTGTATGAAGTTTTTTGAAAGCTGTTTTGGTAAGTAACATCCCTCATGTGCTTTTCCTTCCTCCATGACCTTTATCACCAGATGTGTCTCTGCTTATTTTGAGTCCTGCAGCCGTCGGTGTAAAGACTGCCCAGTAGAGGTGCATGAGTAGAACACAAATCTTTTCTTTAATGCCCTCACACTTTCAGTTTGGTATTTATAATGTGCATGTAACTTAGATTGCTGGTTTGTTACACACAACCTGCCGAGGCATAGAATAGAAAAAATCCAAATGACACAGTGGTCACCAAGTAAAAGTACAATTAAGCCAACCAAGAAAATGTGATGATATACTGTATTATAGGGAGACTGCAAAGTAATATCTCTTCAGCTGCTCTGAAATACATCCAGAGAGCAGGACAAAAATAATTTTCTGACAGAAGGATGAAAAGAGCGGTCAGAAGAAACAAATAGTTAACCTTAAAAGACTTCTAGCTCAGAGGATTGTAAAAAGCAAGAAAACACAGTTGGAGAAGAACTATTGAATAGTTTGAGGTTATATTTGGGGCAGACACATAAGTTTAAAACAGTGTCTTTTTTCAAATTACACAGTAAGGAAGACATTTCAAGATCTTTTGGTGTCTGTGCTTTGGGATATTGTATTCCCATAAACAACTTTCTGTTCAGCTGGAAGGATCACCAGATGTAGCTAATGATCACTTCTTGCCTGCATACAAATGTGTGCGTGTGTGTGTGTGTGTGTGTGTGTGTGTGAATGAACATTGGGCGAGGAATTACTCAAGCCTGCTGAATTCAGTCAAAACAGAAGCCAGACTGAGCTGTGAAAAATGTGTGTCACTGTGTAGGTGGGTAAGACAGGTCGCAGGAGTGGTGCTATAGCAAGAATAAAGCCTGTCAGCCAGAATGTTGTCGCAGTGCACTTTACAATAGTCTCCACTGCCAGAGTTTCACTCAAATGCAGTTTAGAGCTCTTAACTATGTCTCAGAGAACTAAGAAACTGCACAGAGACAGACACGCACTTTGTGCTAATTTCAGGTAAGTTATTGTTAATTGCAAATGTAAATAATGACCTATGATAAACTGTGCAGTACAAAATATGCATTCAAAATTTGGGGCAGCACAGTTGCTTCATAGCAAGAAGGTCCGGAGTTCAATTCCACCATCAGGCCGGGGTCTTTCTGTGTGGAGTTTCCATGTTCTCGCTGTGTTTGCGTGGGTTCTCTCCTGGTACTCTGGCTTCCTCCCACAGTCCAAAGACATGCAGTTAGTGGGGATAGGTTAATTGGTAACTCTAAACTGCCCATGGGCAGGCTATCTCTCTGTGTTAGCCCTGCGACAGACTGGCGACCTGTCCAGGGTGTACCCTGCCTCTTGCCCAAAGACAGCTGGGATAGGCTCCAGCTCCCCCGTGACCATGAAAAGCGGAAGAGAATGGATGGATGTTTTGGAAAAAACAAAGGGCTTTAACAGCCACAGTGTTGGGTGGGCACTACTGAAACTATTCAGTGAGCCCCCCACCCCCACCCAATATATAATTATTCAACCATAAAAGCTCACACTCACACTGTGTAAAACACTGAGAAAAAACAAAATCCAAAGTTTCCTGAGTGTGACAAACAATTTCAATTAGAACTCAGCATCCGTAAATGGAAGGACAGAAAATCCACGGCCCTCTCTGATGACACATAAGCACCACAGATAGTCCATCCAGAATCAGGAATGTGCATTCGAGGAGGCCCATCAACAGCGCCACAGAGAGATTCTACAGGCTGAAAATAACTGCGGATCAGGAGGAGCAATCAGTGGGCTGCATGTTGTGTGAAGACAAGTGGGGGGCTGATTACCTCCAGTTGGTTTGCCCTGGAAAACTGATGCCAAATCAGTTTTTCAAGTTGCACCTTGGACAAACATGCTGCAAAGGTTTTACCATTGGAAAGCATTCATGGAGCCGTTCCACAGTGGATGAGTTCTGGCACTGAATTCATTCTAATAATTTGAAAGGTTGGCAGCTGTGTTTGCACATCCTCAGAATCGTGCATTTGTGAGATTTGTCATGTATAAACCCAAGGTCGGATATTTTACCTTAGTTATATTGCAAAATGAAGCCAAATTAATCAAACAAAAACCAAATCAAATGAGCAAAAAAGGGGAAGCTTATGTTTTTAGTAAATCCAAGATTCATGAATACCTTGTAATGTAAAGTGGGCCAACTAAGTGGAAAAAAGGAAAAACAAACAAAGCAAGATTTGAACCAGAAGACTGAACAGGGAAAGATTTTACATCCTCTTTACTATTTTTATTCATAACCTGCATTCTGTTCCTCAAATGTCAACCTGATATACTTGCAATTTAAAAAATGAATGTATGGAATTTCAAATACATGGGTTAAAATAAGAATCTCTTGGTCTGGCTGCACAGCTTTTGTATGTATTGATGGGAACATTACAGGGTTCAGCAGAGGCTGAGAAGTTAAGTAGCTGAGCAAGTAAATTCTGATACCACTGCCCCCTGTATTGACTTCTCTGGGCATCCAGCTGTATATGTACTAGAAGCATTACTCAAACCAAAACAGCTTGACTACAGCTTGATGTACTTCCCAGATCGATGATGGTGATGTCTAGTTTTGGATAGTTTCCTCCACAAGTTGAGGGACAGAGACATTAGCCGGGATAATCAGTGGACTGAGATGCAATAACTGTTTGGACTGCATTCTGAGGCAACTAATCACAAGGAGATTGTGTCCAGTGTCAAAGTGCATTTGCATCAGTGTTGGTTAATAATGTGCATGTTTTACTCTCTTTTACCTTTGAAACTCACTTGGCCTCTTAGACCATCTGGCACTAATCTGCTAATCATTCTGAATCCAAACTCAACTAAACAGCATTTGCTTGGCCATATGCGAAGGAAATATGTTACATACGCAAAAATAAACTCATCTTACTGACATTATAGACATACATTTTTCCATCCTCAGATTTCTGTCCCTGCGCTCTAAGCGTGAGACATTCATGTTCTTGTTCACAATAAGGCAATTTCACTTTATCCCACTGACTGCTTTTCATTGTGACAACAACTAAAATCCTTTTTTTTTTTTACTTTAAATGATGCATCATGACAGCCTCTACGGACCAGATGACTGTTCTCGATAAAACAGTTTCTCGCTGACTGCATCTGAAAAGTTCTGGCTGTAAAGGACTGCAATTAATGATTGACAGAAACAGCCTCTTTGGCTCCTAACCCTGATAGAAAACACGGTTCAAAAGTTTGACTCCTGTGTGCCCACTTCAAACTTCCATGTATTTTTCAATTTTCTCTGTAGCGAGTAAATATCAGGGGTGTCAAACTGGAAGTGTAAGGGTAACCTGAGGGCACAGTGGTCCTATCTGGCAACACACAGAGCCCAGCGTGACACTGTCTCAGTCCACAGGAGCTAAAGGCTGATTGATGGTAAGAGCTTCTCTCCCTGTTGAAGGATAGAGGAAAAGACCAGAGACCAGCAGGGAAAAAAAGGAAAAAGGACAGATATTGTGCGTGAAATGAGCACAAATGTCTCATTAAAAATCTCCATGTGGCTTGCCGATGTTTAACTTTATGACAGACATTAGATCTCTGCACGGTGCAGATACATACTGAAGAAGTTGGCGGGGAAATACGCCTTTAACTAAATCAGTCGGACAGGTAGAAGATTAGGTGTAGCTGTAGCTCTTCTGTGTGAAGTTTCCCTGTCAGCCTTTCCTGGAGACGGAGGAGCAGCATGTGGCCCTGTGTGATACAGGCAGAGGCTGTCGGGGGTCCAGTAGCAGGTGACCTATGCATCCCTCCTCTGCTGGGTCCTGTTTATGTACTGCTCCCTTTTTTATCACACCTAACCACAGGCCTAATTAACAGGCTTTTCAACAGAGTCCAGGGTCCATCCAACAAGGTGTGCTGTACATTAATACCCTAACACCACTAACCGGAGTCCCTCAGAACCATGCCAATTAATCCTAATATAATTAGAAAGTGGTGAAGTTCAGGGAGTCAGATATTTACTGTATATCAGCTTTCCTCCTAGTCATCGCTGCCCCAGAGTTAACCGCTGGAGGTTTTGTTTGATATGAGACTCACAGATTATTGTTTGGCATTGATTCAAGGATATGTCTGCCGTTAAATGATGAAGCACATTAAGTTATTTTTATTTATTTATTTTTTGGTGAAGGTAGAGTTAAGTACGGGCGGAACAAGGTTGGAGGAGAATTAGTGGGATGCCAAACCAGCTGTGCTATTTATGTAATTTACATCATTTGCTTCCTGTTATTAAAGCTCGGGAGCCCCTGTGCATTTTTTATTAACCTTCTATGTTGTGAAGGCTTGCACTGCAAGTTTACTATCAGCCTTTTTGCACAGCCTCTGACTTTTAAGCTCACACTGCAGAGATTAACTGATGAACCATGACGTGGTCCTCACATTAAAAATAAGCACGGTCAGGTTTGTCCATTTATAATTACAAAAAAAATACTTCAGGCACTTCTGCATATCAAATGACAACAAATGAGGTAGAAAAACAGCCCAAGTAGAATCAGTTAGGAGCTTCCAGTTTTGAATGAAATCTTTATTTTCTGAGCGCACAGGCGTCCGAGGGGACTGGCTACTACACTTTCCATGCACACTATAGAAAGTAGCACAGCAGTGTCTGCAGCTGTTCATAAAGACATCCTCAAGGGAGTATAATCCCTACCCGAAATGAGAGAATATCAGCTTGGATTTGCAGATGCAATCATCAGGCAGATTGTACATATGGCTTGAAACTGGCTAAAACAAAAGAAAGAAAGATGGAATTATTATCTGATAAATACTTTAGTAATGAATGTAGATTTACACAGAAATGCTGGAGCTTTACTTCTTGAGGCACAAAAAGTCATTCCCATTCTCACTGTATTTTGAAACCAGTCTGCCCTTTTGCAGTCACCGACCTTTTCACACGATGCGCACTGTGGCAAGATCAGAGGCGTCTCTCGCTGAGTGCTGGAGAGGCTCGATTTGGGACGCGTTTCCAAGAAGTGAAAAAAAAAAGTTTTCTCCAACGTGTAGACAAAGTATCTAGAAGCGCACCACATTTTTCCCATCAGACCCTCTAATCCCTCATACTGTCTTCTCCATCTATTTGACATGAGCCTGCTCCATTAGTAGGATTTTAAGCCCTAGGCAAGATTTAAACACAGAGCAGGTTTTGAACAGGATGTTGGTTTAAGCAGTGCGCTCATTCTCTTCGCTCTCAGCAGAAAGTCTCACTGTGCTGGCATAAAGGCTGTGACCTATTTTAGCTCACACAGCTCCAGTCCTTTAAAGGGTGTGTCTAAATGTCACGCCAAATCAATCAGCAGAAATAACTGTTGAGTGTTGCCAGCAGAAATTTTATGACCCTTAAGGCTCAAAAAGCGAAAAAGAAACACACTGCACAACTGTACATGGCGACTTGATGGGGAGGTGGCCCTGTAAAGACTGAATAAAACATTTGCAGTCTGCCTTGCTTTAATTTTATTGAGCATCTGTGTCCCTGGGTCAGACGTGTGCATTCAGCTACACTGCTGTCTGCCACCTTGCCTGTTTTAATGCCACAGTACAAGGGATGAGTCATATGTTTTTGCAATCCATGCTCACACCAACACCTGGTTAGGTAACCTTGTAACACATTATTATCACTGGGTCTGAATAAGAGCCTTACTCACGCACTGGTATAGGTTTATAGGAAGCAATAATTGTCACAGCTCTTGAATATTATCATTTTAAAGCATATCTGTGGTTCAGATAGTTGAGGCAAAACATACCCATAAAATAAATTCCAGCGTCAACAAAATATTTGGTAGCAGACCTTTCAGTTCATTTTCAAAGCCTTTTCTTAAGAACTGAAAGCATATTTCATGTGAAATATAAATATTTTTGCTCTTACATCCAAATTGTGTGCCACTATTTCAGCTTCTTTAGTTGGGAGCCCTGCGGGTTGTTTGTGTCGATAACACCCCTTACAGCTCTTGAGGTGCCGTTTGCACTTCAGCTGCAATCTCCTGCTTGCCTCGACCCGTTGTCTCACCACCTACCTCGACCAGAGCTGTCACCCACATTTCACTCTCACCAAGCTGTTTCCTCCCATCTCTCCAAAGCCTCCTGTCCCACAAGTCATTTATCACCCTGTTTGGACAACTCACCCCCGCTCTTCCCCCTCCTGTAGCAAAAGCATGATTTCTAATTAAACCTTCTAACTGGGAGGTTAAGAGCCAATTTCATGCACCTTACTCTTGATAAATAGGCAGTAGCCCATTCACTCCTTTAGCCCTTTCCCTATCTGTTGTGCCCAGGCTACTCTAGCCTTGCCAGTCTTCAGCCTGCTTGATTCCTCCGAGTTCCACTTCTCCCATATAAGTTTCTTCAGTAATAACATCAATTATTCATCGTTCTTCAGAAATGTCATTAATGGTGAGTCAATGGGTGGGGGGGCAATGAAGTGAAAAGACACCCGTATAGACCATTTATTACTGAAATAATTCTAATAAGCATAATAGGAAGCATATCAATTCAAACCCCTTCCAACCACATTTATGAGCTCCCAGGTCGAAGTTCTAAAACTGTTCTGCAACAGTTCAGATTTTCTTCAGGGATTGTGCTCAAACATTAATTATTTGGCTGTTATATGAATCATCGATTCCCTCGATGGAATGTAAAACATGATAAAAAAAAGAAAAGCTATTCATTTACTAAAGGTAGAAGAATAGGCAGAAGCATTGATTAGGGTCTTTGTCAAATAGTCATGCCTGAAGGCTCTGTTGGACTGGGGATTAATTACCATCTTTGCTCAGGAAAAGGAAACATTGATCTGAGTGAATGAAGAAAAAGAGGATTAATGACAGGCAGCTTTATGTTGATTAAGATTAAGTAGGACAGAAAAAAACTGATTTCAATGTCTGACATAGAGTGATATGATTGGTGTTTTCAATTAGAAGGCTACGCCCAAATTATGTGCTAAACTGTCTGGGTACTTTTTTCATTACTGATCAGTTATGTTTACAGTCCTGAATTGTATTTCCTTTAGATATTTCCTTATATTATATCAAGTTTCTTCACCAGTTGAGAAAATTCCTAGTTCTTAAGCTACATAATCCATTTAACAAGATTAAAAGTCTACAGCCACTTTCAGCAGCTGTGTCAAAGGGAAAGTATGTTGATTTAAACACCTGCCATCAGGTCTTACGCTGCTGCATATGTTAGAAAAGAAGAAAGAAGCTGTTGGTTAAGAGAAAGAAAAACTCAGCAACACACTCCCCTAAGCTGCAAGCTAGCAGGCTAAGGCTACATTAAGGCTTCTTTGCATAAAACACTCAAATCTCTGACTTCTCTGACTTTTAACATTTAGAGGTTGAGTTGCACTGAAGGTAATGCAGGTAATATAGGTTTGATGTGGCATAAAAAGCTAATGTCTTTGGGTATTCTATATTTCTTTTCAGACCTTTTTAAACTACAGGCAGACAGTTTTATAGCAGCTGGCACATTTTCTTGACACTGATGTTGTCTAGCTGTTTGGTGTCTGAGGCTGCTAATGTTATAAAAATGATATAATAGGTTATCTCAGAATTTCAGCACTTTTTACATATTAGAGTAAAGACCACAGATAATTATAGATTACTGAGCATTTGGGGGAGTGGGAAGAAAGCCTTGCATATAACGGGACAAAACCTCTGGCAGAATCAAGCTAATGGACAGTGAGAAATATGACAATAAAACAAAATACATGAAGAAAACAGAGCAAATTTCCCTGTAATCCATCAAATAATTAAAGTACCACATCCACATTTTCCATTTTCCACCATGTGAATGTTTTTTCTTTGGAGTAGCCTCGACCAACCTGCGGAGACACTCTCAGAAATGAAAACAGTGAATGCCACATAATTAGTAATATCAGCCACCAGAGCTATTATAATTCCAGTTTGGCACAAATCTGAATGATCCTTTAAGCTTATTTATTTTAACATATCACATATATGAACACACCATCCTCTTATTTTTCGCTGCAACTTCCCCACAGAGATCAATAAAATTTAATCTCATCCCATCTTATTAAGATTTAGTCTCACAGTACACTTAGCGCGCGCAGAGATAATTAGGGAGACTACACGCCACCCTGCAAGATGCTCGCCTAATTAAGAGCAAGCCAACATTCAAATTTTGCTGACACATCATTTCCCTTTTTACATATAATTAGATTTGGTAATTCTTGAAGTTCTTGAGGATTAAACATAGACATATACTAAAAGTATTCATTGTGAGGTCGGGACTTCACGTTTGCTTCAAACTGCTTTAAGGTCGGACGAACGGTTTTTGCTGATTTAGGAAAGCTAAAGCTTTTTTCTCTTAAACCGAGGCTGAAGTTGGGATCGAGGTACATTTTCAGTGCCATATGTCTATCAGAAAGATTAAGCCAAAGCAATGAAGCAGACTTGGAAACTTGGAGCACTGACAGGAAAGAGAACTCACTAAATTAGGTGCAGATCACTTTAAAAGTGCGAGGCAGGTTTTAGCTTTGCCGGGTGGATGCACTCTCTGCATGCCTTTTAATTTCCCAATGTTTTGTTAAAAACAATCACCTGCGCCTTATTAGGAAGAGATCTCTTGTCAGCAACACTTTTTAATTTAAACTTCACATCACAGCCCTGTGCAAATACAAGGTGTTGACTGAGTAGCCTCACCTCTAATTTCAAATAAACGAGAAGTTCTGTTCACACATTATAGGCAATAATTAACAGGATGTCCTCATTTTATAATAAAACCTAATCATTTTTGCTACTTTTGTCAGAGGTTTTCACCATTTTTTATTTCTTTTCCATTTGTGAATAATTATTGTAACCCTAGAAAACATTCCCTACAAAGAAACCCATTTAAAGCACTCCAGAAATTGTATGCATGTCAACCTAGAATTGAAGCTTACATACTTTTCTGTATCAGTCCTCTCCTGAGTGCTCAGCTGTAAAAGCGAAGTCCTTTTCACAGCGCTGTCATGGGAAAAGTGATGAGTTACAAACAACAGATAATGACGGAGCCCATTTCGAAGGATAAATTCTAAATCTGTCATCAGAGCGAGAGGCTGAAATTTACACATTCAAATTTATAGAGATTCCTATTACCAGATATTCAATCACCATTTTGTACTGTGTGGTCTTTGGTTTTTCACTGTGAAGGAAGTGAAATCCAATTTACTTTCTCTGTAGCTGTGTAAACACAAATAGGGTGAGAAAAAATTACCCAAATAAAAATAAATAAATAAATGGGATTAGAAAAAATAGATGAGACATAATATTTGCTTTGGAATAAAAAGCAAAAGCGGCAGCCAAAGCAATGCAAGAGGACTGCACTTATATATGCTGTGTCTAATGGAAAGGCAGTACTGCTACAACCAAAAGCTTTGACCACTGCTGAAAGAGTAGTTTTGTTTGTTCCAACACACATCTACCCTCACTCCGCCTGATACACAAAAAAAGCTAGCTGCATTCAGCATCACCCTTTGAGAGCCCCTTTACTTTAGTGTTCCTGGAATAAACATTCATTCACATGCTTGATCTCTGTGTCGTTCTCCAAGTGAGTCACAAGGTCAGCCAGAACTGTGTATTTTAAAGAGCCTGTCAGAGGTAGAAATGGCCATTTAAGCGGACAGTGCGGTGAGAGTCACTGTAATAATGTAATATACAATAGCTGGTATTCAAAGGAAATGCAACCTGCTTGTTTTCGGTCACTTCGCGTTGACATGCCCTCCTTTTAACCGAACATTAACCATTTGATTTTTGACCTAAAACACTGGCCAATCAGCATCAAACCTTCTTTAAGTATATACTTCACAGTAATGGTGTTTACATTCTTTCTCAGTTACTTTGAAATAGCGATGGGAAGGTTGACCTCATTTCACGATTAAATATAACACGAAATGTGTTTATGTTATTGCACTGTGACAGAGAGCTGAGGTCATGGTGAAGCAGAAGGTTTGCAGTAAAGAGAGCTTTGCTTTTTTTGAGATAACTGAGCTTTTCTTCAGCATCAGGCTGGCTTCACCTACTGTGTGTAGCAGATGTCCATGAACAACATGTTACTATTAGATGTAAGAGTATTATCAGTGTTTAGTGTGGATGAATGTCCATGCGGTAAATTAATTTAGCCAAGTGGAAAGCTTAAAATTTGACTTTTAGTGTAATGTATGGCATTGAATCCATCTCAGTGGTGTCTAAGATAACTTCAACAACCAACAAGTACAGCTCCAGAGACAGGATTGATAGTTT